GATTTAAATATTTATTTTATACGTGACATTTATGTTTTGGAGAAAATTTTCCTGTTACGTTTTATATTACATAGCGTACAGCATACATCACGATCTTCCCTTCTCGATATCATTGATTATTCCGTGTTGCAAGTATCTCACGTGAAACAACTTGGCACAAGCGCAACTCGCAACAGTTATTTATTTATAATGCCAAACGACGGTATCAGTCCAAGCTGTTCAAGCAACGCGCATCATAAATTTTTCTATCAGTATCACAGAAACATTCAGGAGCGCAAAAAATTCGATCGTTGATAAAATTTTTATAAGAGTGTAACACTTGTTTAATAAAAAAAACTTTCAATATAAAATTTGAAATTAGAATCTATCATCCGCATCATTACCTCGTATAAAAAGATTATATCGTGTAAGTAGATCTTCTTGCGCTCTATTGATTCACGGTTATAAACTTGTGAATGACGCAGACAAAAATAATGAATTTGTGTCCATCGCCAAGGTAATCATAAAAGATAGAACGCTTTTGTGATATTTACTCAGCGATCTCGTAAGCGGCGAGCAAACTGCGCTCGTTCAACATTCTGTTGCACGAAAGAGCAATTTGATATCAGCATGAGATCAAAGAACACGGATCGTCCATAACGCGGCATTAAACGCGAAGTTTATCAAACCCAAAGTTTTATAGATATTTTAAATTTAGATATAAATCCTCAATTATATTCGGAAAAATGAGGGGGCAATGCAAAAGCGTGACACAAACTGCGTGACTAATATAAAGTTTCTTAGATAAATCGCGATTTCTTTATCTTAAACATTATTGGAGCTAAAACTATGTCCGAGAAAATTTAATAACAAAAAAGCTATTTCCTCTTTTTTTTAAATTTATTTTACATGCCTTTATAGTTTTTATTCAAAAATTCCCATTTGTTCGAACATATTTCTTGATTACTTGCGTCATACAAACTGATGTTAAATAATAACTGCTTTTGCAATAGCTAAAAGAGTTCTCATCAACGAATTAATCTTCGAACGTAGTTGATTTTGATATGATGTATCCAATAGGTAAATATACGACGCGCGTATCTCTTTGAGTTAGTTCTCCGCGGATATGTTATATATCATAAAGCCAAGTCGCTAGTTCTACAGAAGTTAGTCGGGAGGAATTCAGATATCACCAGTGACCAGTAGAAGTCGAGTTTCGAGGACGGGACAAATACTAATAGAACAATAGATTTCTCGTGAATGTAGAATGAATTATTCGAGCATTTGCATTTGAGATATTCGTTGCACATCGAATAAGATCGAATAATCGTGCATTTCTAGACGTGAAGAAACACTTAATAGTTACTTCTTCTACACTGTCTCCTCTTCCTTGACATACCGGACGTTTCAGTATTATATTCACTGTCATTGATATTATTGCATAATAAAAATTTTTATGTCGTTGTGGTAACAACATAATTCTGGTAACAACAGCTTAACAAAACCACATCAGAAAACTAGGCACTCTCTAAATTTTTTAGAGTGAAATCTCACTCCAAAAGACTGAAAATTAAGCCTGTTTTGAAAAAAGAGTGAAAATATTTTCACTCTTTAATAAGAATGACAGATTTTCACTCTTCATAGGAGTGAAATTTCATTTTTTGGAATAAGATCTTACTCTTTTGGAGTGAGTCACTCCAACGAATAAAGTTTTACTCCAAAAAAGGTGTGAGATTTCGTTTTCTTGGAGCGAATTTCATTCCAAAAGAATGAAAATTTGTCACTATTTTTCAAGAGTGAAAACTTTTCACTCTAAGAGATTTAAAGAGTACACAGAGACATTGATAAGCGAAGATAAAAAACTGATAAAGAAAAAAAAACAAGCAATATTAATATCTAAATCCATAAAATAATGAGATTTCATTTATGATAGTTAATCAATTACGTAGGTATATAAAATCATTTATCGACGTTGTTTTGTAAAGTATTTATATTTTGTAATGCAGCTTTTTTAAAGGGATTTAACAAATATTATATCACGTATATACTGCACGTATATACAATACTGCACGTACCATACATAACATGTAGAAACAGAATTTCAGCAAAATGAGTGGGGAGCTAATACTACTTCATCCTTGTCGTCGGTGTACCATGGCTATGGTGGAAGTTTTCCATCGATCTGGCACGTTTTCCGCGATATTCTCGAAACAGGAGGGTGAGAACCATGGGGGGATGTCGGAGCGGACGAGGATCGACGAATGGTAACGCTGAGTTATTCAATAGGACCTAGTCCATTTCGGGACAGTTCCCGCGGGACTCGTATCGTTTCATCTCGATCCCGTGGGTACGTCCGCTATATGCCATTGTGACCCTGGAATATAGTTTGCGAGTTTCATGCGTACATACATATGTACTTGACGAAAGTCCGAGTGATCCCCGTCATTACATTGCCAAGGGAAAAATGAAGCTCATATTTCTCGTCTGTACGAAAATCCTCCCTCGTACCGAAAAAAACTTGAAAAAAATATCCAGGCGCATCTGAATTACAAAACTCTTGAATGTTACGTTTTATTGGATTTGCATGATTTATTCCATTACGGAAAATTCTATGATATAAATTTTTCAATACAATAATTGAAAATTGTTAAAAACGCTCAGAAATAAAAACAGTTCATCTTAAAAACCAAAATATAAAATATATTTTGGAAGACAAAAACATTATATAATATATACTTAATATATTTGTATAAATATATATATATATTCATACATCAATTTTAAAAGATTTTTTTATAAAATTCAATGATATGATAGTTGTTTATACTTGAGAAATGCAAAATAAGAATCAATATTGCAAAATTGATAACATAGGAATGCTCTAAATTTTAATAAAATTAATATAATTGTATACCTAATATTGTTTATTCATGTGTCGCTTAAAAAAGACATTCTTCCACTATATACATATACTGAATATTGCCGCAAATGTCACCACCGCCGCCTCTGTAGTTGAATTGATAAAACACGGAATGAGAAAAATTCGAATACCAAATTGAGGTGATATTTTTCGTAATAAATGCTTCACCGTGTTTTAAAGATCATTAACATTAATAATATTAAGTTGCTTGTTAATTTAATTTGTAATATTATGCAACTCCAATTCAGTCTAGAATTGTGTTTCAATCCAGACAAATAATCGGCGCAGTTTGCTTGGAAATTGTACCTGGAAATTGTAAATTGTAACAATTTACACAAAAATATTAAACAACAAGACCTACTTTGACTGAATAAGGCATTTATTTGTATTAAACATTTATTAGACGATTTTACCGATTTTCTAATTCAATATGATTGTTTTAAAATAATTCAGTGATATACGCTTTATCTACAATATTTTAGATATACACATAATATATACGAACGATGAATATATTTTATTATAGCTGGTTAATTCATTACAGCAATCTTGACGAAAGATGAAGGCTATCAGTGTCAATATGAACTATCGATTAACACAAATAGATTTGAAAACATCAATCAATCATTCGTGTTCTCTCGTTATACAAGAGCGAAATTCTCTTCCTCCTTCGCTAATTACTTAACTCTCGGCTGCAACCCTAGTGAGGAATGAGAAAATTTGTGCCACCATAGCAATCATTCCGTGTACAAGAACAACAGTCCAACATTCCGTGTTTCGTGGCAAAGGCTTTCTCCACAGATATTACGTATATTCAAATCGTACATTTCTCTTGAAATTCTTAAAAACTCGTAAGTAACGTTGCAAAGCTCAGGTACCGAGCATTTAATGTTAGTGACACAGCATCGCGGTTCAAGAATAGAAATCGCTTGCTTATTTATGCGAAGTTGGTTAGCTCGGAAGGACTCTTTTGACTACATCTCGCTCCGCTTCTGGTCCTCGATTCAACTTTTGCGAAGGCGAACAAGCGAATTCCACGCGAATACCGACGTTGTATTTTCGCTGGCGGCGGAATCTCTTCCTCACTCAATGATCGTTTCTTTTAGAAGCTCGAAGATAGCGACTTTGTAGAGGGAATAACGGAAAAACGGTGGCCAATGCGGAAATCCACCGTCTTCTTAAGCCAAAATCTCGATCGCGCACAATGGTGAGTAAGATTATAGGTATAAGAGATCGCCCCACAAAATTCGCTCGTTATCCATCGATTATTACCAAAGATAACCGTTTACGTTAGATAATTTCTTTTTCTTTGTACGGAAAATGCGAAAGCGCCTAATAGAAAAAATTTCAGGTCGACTTTGCCTTTATCCTTACTCATTCTCATTTTCATTTTTCATTTTACTGTACGACACTTTCAAGATTACAAGATGCAATTTCTTTTACATTAATAGCACAGTTTCCGCAAATTGCTTTAATTTCTTTTGTCTTTGATGTTAAATCTTCAAAAAGAGAAGAAAAAAGAAAGAAAGAGAGAGAAAGAGAAAGATAGAGAAAGGAAAGAGACTTTTATTTGTTAAAATAAAAATTTCAAAAGCTAATCATAATTCATACTGCTATAATATATAAAAATAAATTTAATATGAGAGAGAGATTAGAAGATATTCTTTTAGTCGAAATTACGAAATTAGTAGTGCGGTGATGAGTCTAAAAATTGATGTTACGAAAAGAAAATAATTCGCTTTTAATCGGATAATCTGTTTGAAAATGTTTTCCATGGTTGGTAGCGATTAATGGTGATTAAACTTATCTAGCCGTCCCCATGGAACTGACTGTGGCAAATTCGATCTGAACTATATCCCGTGGTAACTTTTGCAACTTTTGATAACGCGTAAACGACAGACGACGGGAACGTACCAGAGTTGTCTGTAATTGCACCGATATTTCTCGAGTCGACGGCTTTGAAGATCGCAGGTGGAAGGTAAACGTCGGTACTTCTCTTCGCCGTTCTTTTCCTCGGCTTTTCTCATTGCGGACGCGATTAAATGCTTCCCTCATAGTCGAGTCGCCGACCGTGCAGTATTGTGCAAGACACTTTCGTTAGAGAAAAATACTTCTTCACGCTGTCGTACCATTTATCGACTTATCTGCTTTTGTCGCGATTTCTTATATGGTCAGAGAAAATTAAAACAACATCATTGTCGGAGTCATTATGTGATAAATATTATGTACTGCGATTTTCCGTTGCGATCGGTATTAACGAGTGAATAACATCATACGTTTCACGTCAACCTGATTTATACGATTTCATAATGGATTCTCGGAGAATAATGGTGAGTGCTATATACAAACAGCGCGAACAGTTTCAGTTAAACAAAAGTTTAAGCATTATGTATGTACGACTTGATCGCGTTCGCGATATTTCGAGCGAGTGTATAACAAAGATAAAGAACGTCCGTCAGCTCATATATTCGCGAGAACACCGTTCGTGAGTTCTCTGGCAATTCGCACAGACTCGGCTGTCGTCATACGAACCATTTGATAATTTCCCGCCTCGTTAGTTAACGTAACGGGTTAGTTACCGTTCTGTACTTGCTCGGACGTGAAATATGTTTCGCGCGCATGGCAGTAGCCGCCGTCGACGGACGTATACGCATTAATGAATTTAGGCTGTCGACGGACTGCATCACGAACGTTTTAATAATTCCGAAGCTTTTTTAAAGTGATCCTTGAGCGCGGAGAGCGAGTTCGCCAACCAGCAATTTCAGTAATAGCAACGCAGTCTGTAAACTTCGCACAAAAAATCGAAGTCACCAGTCGGCCTGATATATCTGATGACTTTATTTATGGTGCAGATTTTCCGAGGCACACAGTGATTTTTTTCTGCAATTCGAGAAATATCTGTACATCGAAATAGATAATTGCATAAATAAAATTGTATAAAATAAGACATTGAAATGTTTAATTCATAGTTTTCTGATTGTGAGAAAAAGTACAAAATGCTTTGAAAATAGATTGATCTTTCAAATTAATTAATGATTACTAAATAAAAAGATATCTTGCAATGTTTAATTCAGTCTTCTGAGAAAAAGTACAGAATGTCTTGAATAGATATTTTTCGAATTAATTAATACTTACTAAATAAAGAATATAGTAATAAATTATTGAACTAAATAAATTTTCAATGAATATATAACAAAAATTTATATAACAGTATAAGAAATATTAAGTTTATAATTTATAAATTAATAATTAATTATACTAATTTTATTTCTTAATCTACGCCACAAAAAATATGATAAACACTTAATGTTTGAAAGAAAGATGTTCTCACTTACTCGAAAGAATTCATATGTCTACAAAGAGTTTCGACGTATGTACATCGCGTGCTTCGACTTGTCTACTGTCTCTCACGTTTGCGTTTTGAATCCTGATAAAATCAAATTGTTCCTTCCACTAACCGCGCCGCTCCGAATAAATGTTATCTGCAGCTATAAAATTTAGTTGAATGGAATATAAAGCATAAAACGAAGTCGCGATAAGCCAATATCTCTCCTCACGGCTCGTTACGTTTACGAGTGTTTTACGAAGTTATCCGGCATTTCTTCCGCAAGAATTCCTAAACAAAATCCGCAAGAGACGTGTGACTGGAATTGTTCGTGATAATCTGATAATATTCGAGAATGGGGATGTGCGGTTACATGTGCATTGATGTATATGTGGCTGCATTATTTCCGGACGTCTATTCGTACATTGAGTCTATTCGTAGATAAAATTATTTTCAATCGGAATTTTGCGGAATTCAAAGACATTTTTTCAAACGTGGATTGTTCTTGTAGATATAATCGCATGTGAACACCTATTATTTAATATTCAAATTTCTTAACGAGATAATTTTGGTCTTTGTATTTAAATTGTATTTAATCGCTCTTCGAATAGGTATCCTCCTTAAATCATTACTTTTTTTATCAGAGGAATTATCAAAATTTTCTTAATATATTCCGTCTTATCAAGAGCAGATCCAGACGTTTGTCAAGGAGGAAATCACTGTCGAATTTATATATTTTTAGGTTGATTTTTGGATTACCAGGTTTCTGAAACATTATCCGCCAATTGCAACGAACAAGTAATAAAGAAAAAGATAAAATTTAATTATTTTATATCATTTTTGTATCTTTCCCTCCTTATTACTTATTATTAAATTAGCGCTGCAAGTGAAATTTTTTTAAGGTCAAATACGAAAAGATAGACTGAATTATCATTAACATTACATTGAAAAAGTACTATGTAAATATTTAATTCATAAAACATTTTATTTAAAATTATATCAGTAAAAAATAATATATAGACATGACATTTTACAATAAAATACCTAATTTACACTTTCTATTTCTGATAAACCTATTCAACACTATTCCTTCAACAATTTCTATGTCTTTATGTTTATAACAATGCAAGCCCCAAAAGTTTCTTTTCACTCATACGATCTATTAACCAAACTTTCAAATGCCAAAAGGCTGGAAAACTTCATTCAGCAGAAGCGACACTTATCGGCAGACACACAGTAATATTTTATGTAGTTTTGTAATTAGTGACTTTTGTATAACGCTGCATAAAGCGGCGTCTACAATGAGATTTTTATACATAAAACTTAAGTTTTAAGCACTAATCCGTAAGAAATTGACTAATCACGGTATTCTCCTCACATTCGATTGTAATTGGTTAATTTCTTAGTTCGCAAACACAATAGAGTAGTAAGCCTTAACCCTTAAGAAATTAATCAATCACAGTCGAATGTGAGAAGAATAATTGACCATGATTGATCAATTCCTTAAAGCTTAAGATTTACTACTCTATTGTGTTTGCGAGCTATGGCTTAGAGTTTAAAGCTTAAATTTTACGCCTTAAAATTTCATTGTAGACGCCGCTTAACGCGGTATTAACAATAGAGCAGTAAGCCCTAAACAGAAAGAATCTATAGAAATTTCTTAAATTAACAAATATTTTTGGAATATCAAAATTGTAATGAAGCATTTTTAGAAATATTAAAAATATATGTAACATTTCATTACAAAATATTTTTAAAAAGGGGGCCCCGTATGCCTCTCCTCCGTTGGTCCGCCAGTGTGTCTTATTTGCGTATATCAATTATCTCAGTAATAATTTATATAGACATTGGATAATTATTAAGTTTCGCCAAAGTCAGCGCTTTTAGTGTCTATTTGTAACCTCGAAAGTACTGATTATTACGGTCCACTTGATATAATATGAAGTTAATTATGGATGCAAAATTAAGTTCGTTACACATATATTTCCTCTATAGAGAGAAGGATATATAATATGAAACTGTAAATATATAAATTTATTAAAGGCTGTGTGACAGAATTATACAATTAAATGGAAAATATCAACATGCTATCTATTTAAAATTTAAAAAATTTTGAATACAGCAAATTTAGATACACAGAATATATGTTTTTATAATTAATTTCAAATAATTTAGTTTTTTAAATATTTTTTTTATTGAATATACTGAATTTTTATATTAGAGACATTTCAAGAAACATAATCGAAAATATTTTTATTTAGTTTGACATATGAAACGTCATGAAAATATCCATCAGATCGATAAGATATCAATATCTGCGTACATCTCTTTGTGAAATACATCGGCAATATTATATGGTATCGCGAAACGGCCGTTGAAAGTAGTAGCGTTCGAACAGCTGCGTGCAGTAAAAACGAAGAAATACAGTTTGGATTTAAACGATTACTTGAGAAATGAAGTCGGAAAATCTTTAACAGCACATGCTTTTGTTTGTGTGTTCACTGTGCCTTAGAAGTTCTTATTCATATGTAGCTGATCTTGATGTCTGTTACTTTATTACTTTTATTCGCATACAGTGGCCCCGCTTTCAAACTCCATTAAATTCCACCATTCCGAAAATATCGTTCCGTTCAGAGAAAAATATTTTCGCTCAATAACTAGATATGCCGATACTTCACCGAATCAGTACGAAACACGGGAGTTTGTCCGTAAACCGATACTTCGATACTTGCATTTATCGTGAAGATAACGAAGCGGCGCGTTACGAACCATTTAATCTTTCATCGCCGCGAAGGCGCGCTCGGCCTTTTTATTACATTTTCTTGCAAATACATTTCCTATGCATATATCTGTGAGAGATTTATCTAATCTTTCATAGAGATATAAGTATATCCGCAAACTTTCGCATGTGCATTCATTCGGAAGCGATCCGCCCTTTTACAATCACGTCATGATTTATTGCCGCTTACATTCAAGTCGGGATTGCGAACTCCACCAATTCTTTCCTGCAGCATTTTATCAATAACGCATTGATAAGAAATAGGAAGCAAGTGATAATTCAAATGTATAAATCAAACTAAAATCCGTATCCGTTTCTATATACATATGTTATGAAGCAAATTCAAAAACTATAGCGCTGAAGTTATATCTTTCTTTCTCAATATGTATGGATGTAAAAATTTTATTTTCGCATTCATAGAATTCGTTTTTAGCTGATTTCGTATAGAAACAAGCCACAAATATACGAATTATGCGTTTACACCGAAGGAGTAACCACTCAAAAAATAGGTGTACCTGGACTTCGGACTTCAAAACATCGGACTTCACCGGACTTTACCGGACTTCACCGGACTTCATCGAACTTCTGACAGATTGTACACCAGAATTCAAGAGTGGTTATCTCTGTCTCTCTCTCCCCTCGGTTTACACTTTTTTAATTAATTAAATAGATCATGTTTTTATTAGTATTAATAAAGTGCAATAATTTATTTCTGAAAAATAAGAAGATGTCGCTTTAGAAGACCTGTGAAAGTATCGGTGACTTTCCTCTAATATTTTCTTTAATAGTACTAAGTAAACGTTTTTATATTGTGAATAAATATTTATTCAAAAGAAGAAGGTATTACTTACATCAAACAATATATGTTTACGTTTATTAAATATTTATTTATAATAAGAAATGTTCTTAGTACTATTTAAGAAAAGAATATTACTTAAATTTAGGAAATCTTTTTCAATGTGCCAAAATATATGTCTTATAAGAAAATGTGCACGAGAATAATTAATGTATTCTTTCGCATGTTCTATATTTTAACAGGAATTTAGACCTATTTTTTGTTATAGCGAGGTAAAGTTTGAAAAGCTCTGGCGATTTATTCGAAGCTCGCCGGAGATTGGCCGATTGATTTCCGGCGAGCGATTTACATCCGAGAGGAACTTAGGTCAGCCGCGAGTGAAAAAGTCCGCACAAACCTTTCAATTCGCTGGGTCGAGAAATCCTTCGAAAGGCAATCAGCGCCGCACAAACATTATCGCTCAAAGCGGTGGCGTAAGAGGAGATATTTCAGATGAGTAAGACGGTTGGCCGAGTCTCGAGGAAATTACTTTACCGTCTACGAAAAAAAAGGAGAAAAAGTGAAAATTGCAGCGAAGAGAGAGAGACTTTATGATGCCGAGAGGATGTTATAATGAAATATTCGAAAATGTATTAAGATGAATGAATATGTCTGACGTTATTGGGGAAGCACGAATGTATCGTTGTTATAAATATGCCATATGCAACATTCATAATTTGTCATGTATACATAAAATTAAATTTATTATCACTAAATCAATTCAACGAAAATATCATGGCATATTACATCGCGGAAAAATATTAGAGTGTCGTATATTATCATGCAATACTTCATGCAGTGCCACTTTTAAAGCAGTAATTAACATTGAAATTTTTATATAAAAACGGGATCGCAGTAATTTACGAGAAGCAATAAAAAACATTGCATAAATAAAGTAAATCTATCATGGATTTTCACACAGGGTTGTACTGCATATTTCAGTATTACTTTTGCATGCAATTTTTACGTATTGTTTACGTTAAATTTACATGAATCTTTTTCATGTAAACAAAATAAGCAATGTAAATTATTATAAATTGGATAATACAATACAGAAAGCAGTAAAGTGTTTTGTGATTGTTAATAATGATTATAATATATCTAATTATAATGATAAATAAAAATATATAAGCGAGATAGAAGTATTAGTATAGTTTAGCAACGAAAAAAAACATAAATGATTTATAAACACGTAAAATGTAGTTTACATAGCTTACACTTTATACATGTAGAGATGTAGATTATTATATTTAATGCATCTGTTTTCACAGCTTAGATAATATTGATTTTTCCGTATAACTGATTCTATAGATAAATATTTTAACTCACGATAAATCTTATCCAATCTGCAATGTAATTTCAACACGCCAAATTGATATCAAACGGATCCTTACAGCAGATATGTCGCTGCGTATCCGCGTGGTTAACCTGCTTGATACAACCGCGTGTATCCATCTACCGGCATAAATCAGAGTAGCTACAGTCGCTACAGAGCTAACACGTCTGGTAGTAACTAGATGTACATGTTAGGTAACAGACACCTACATAGTAGTATAACCCACCTTTGAAGTAAGTTAGGTAGACTGTTAGAACATCGATTCACGCGATGCGAAAACAGCGAGTTAATATAATATCCGGAAATCGAGAGATGTTCGTTCGTGAAAATACCAAAAGAAAAGAATCCGATAACTTTCATTTCGTTACAGTGATTTAAAGCTCGCGAGTAGAAACATTACTTTTTGTAATTAATCCTTGAAATTGCACGTTTCTCCACTTCTTGATGAAGAAAATACATTTTCTGATTTAAATTGAATATAGGCAATGGGATTTAGTATCTGTTTCTTATTACAGGATACAAGTACAATCGCTCTGACTCACGTTCGCAGGTAACGTTTCTTAAATTCGGGGAATACTCGTGAATATTCTCAGAGTTTCAGGTTTCTAGATGTCTCCAATAATGCTCTCGGGCTCTCGTCACTTTCTTTGTACAATCGAGAGAACACTTCTCGCTCTGTCGTGCAATGCGAAACATCGCCCAATAGTTACTTAAATAATTTATTAAAGTTAAGTCACGTTCAACCTTATGTAAGATCTTTTACATCACCTACGCTCCTACACATCCGTGACTTATTAAAATAAAAGAAAGAGACCACATTGCCTCGATTGCGTCGATCGTGGAAATCCCGACATTTACACGCAATTACCCAACAGTATCTATATTTAAAGAAACAAAGGAAAATAAAAGCAGATTATTAAATATTTATATTCTTATATCAGAAAACATACAAGCTCACTATATCGTAGAGTACAAAGGTTCAGCGAGATAAAAATTTAATCTCGTATAGTACAATAAAAATTTTACATTAAAGTATGCATATATGCGGTAGCTTCAAAACATCTTGCACAAATGCAAAATTTGTTAATAGGGTAATTTAAGTGACTTTATCAATCATTCATGCGATATTACATTATATCGATGAAACAACTATCTCAACAGCAAACGCGAAATCGCAATGGGTTGTCAATAGCAAAGTACAACGCGTCGATGCGTTAATGAAGTTGTTACTTCTGCTTGGTATAACAGTTTGCCGCACGTTGTGATTCTGGCATAGCCAACTATCGGACATCGCAATTATAGCGAATCAATAATTTCAACCTGAGCGGCGATTCGAGAGCTACGTGTAACTTTCGCGTTCGACCGTAAACAGTACGGCAAATCTGTAACGTTGAACGGTCCACACGACGAATCTTTTATTGTAACTGAATTGAGGAAAATTTCGACAACTATAACATAATTCATTAATACATGATCTCAATAATTTATGTCATAATCAGTGATATCTTCAAAAACATTTCCGGCGCAGTTTTTAAAAATGACGATATCATTCTAAAACTAAATATTTATATTAATTCTTTAAATCTAATTGTAAATCGTCTCGGTATGCACAACATATCTTTGCAATTAATATATTCTGATAAGAATTTTTTTTGTAAAAAGAAGAAGGAACCAAAATTTGATATTAATTTTGAATTCTCTAATTACTAATAAAAGTGACAATGAGTTTTCCCTCAATTCAAATTTTAATTGCGAGATAAGTTTTGTAATTATTGCCACATATGCAGTATCGCATACGCTTTGAAATATCTGTTTTCACTATTGTATGCTAGTATTGCAGAATTTTGCAGAATAACGGTAGGCGTAAGTAATACAATATCACTGTGGCAACACCACACGTTTGGTTTGATTATGCATAACACATATTAAATAAAAATTCTATAAAATTTCATGAAAATTCTAACCATAGAGTCGAATATCATGCAGTGTATTCAGTAGTAATGCATACTTGAAATAGTAGAATGCAAAAGAGAGTATCTACAAAAAGCTACAGCTAACAAACCTCAACATCCGTATCAATAATCATTTACGCAAATTATTATTATCAAAAATTAATTCAGCTTTAATATTTTATATCATAAGAGTAATTTTTTATTTGTAAATTTTTGCAAATGAATCAACATCAATTAAACACATTGTAAATACACATTTCTTGTTATTTATTGCGTCTACTTTATAATATAGAAATATTCATTAGTAGATATAGAAATATGTATATAAACGAATAAATTGTAGTTTTTTTAATACAAATGATTAAGCACAAAATTAAAGGAAACAATAAACATTTAAATTTTTAAGTTTAATGGTTAATATAATTTAAATGTTATTTTATATCCTTTTTAAATATATATTTTTATTCCTCTCTCTCTTTTATAAATTTTATAAATTGCATAAATAGTAAGTAGGTAATATTCGAAATTTGTAAAATTTTACTATAATTGTTACTTTCATTATATTTGCTTTATATTTTTTGCTTATATATTTTGACAATTTTAAATTACAAATAAACGTTCCAAAAACACAGTTCAGTGATTTTGAAATAAATAAATAACGTGTGAAATTTATAACTGCCATCAACAGCTTTATGTATTATCACGAAATTCTGCGAGCAAATGATTCGCTTGAAATTTTCACAAACGAGAGCGCAAAAAGTATTACCACAAAGTGCCACGGAATAGCATATGACCGACAAAATTGCTTTAATCTCGTCTTTTCCTCCCTATTTCTATGAATGATACTGACTTTTAGCTTCGCATAAGCTAAGCTCCCTGTTTCACTTGAATAAAGGAATTTTTAAAAAGCACGAAGAGATAAATCCCAAAGCCTTCAAATAAAACTCGATACAAATTTCGAAAACAAATTCCAACTTAATAAAAATAAATAAGTCACTGAAAATAATACGTAAAAGAATATATAATTGCATTAAGTTAGATAATGTTAAATCTATAAGAAACTCAAATTTCTATAATTTTTTAGTTTCTAGTTAATTGTTTCTTATTAAAAAAAGGTTAGTAAATTGAAACATTCATTCACATATTTATTCACTTATATTTACGAATATTTCTATATTATTGAGTATTAAGGTGTGAGTCTAACGAGAAGAATTAAAATGTCATTATTAAAACGATAGGAAATGGAGAGCAATGCTAATGTCATATGAATGAACATTCTATAACTTCATTGAGTTCTAAGGATGTTGCTGAAATCCAACGCTGGATTCCAGAGAAGTTTGTAATTGTAGGTTTCTGAATTTCAGAATTGGTGCTAGCGTTCCAATTCGCCTAACGCCTGCTTGAAACTTCAGCTTGGAGTCATAAACTTTGAGTCTATTATTGAACCAAGTCATTAGTTGCTCAATACCAAC